TTTGTTCTCTCTCTCTCGCCCCCCTTTCCTTTTTTCTTTTTTTTTTTTTTTTTTCTGGTACTGTTACCTCTGTTACCTTAAGGTGTCTGATGATTTAGCTTGCATTTACCCAAGAGGGTTATAGACACCCTATTGCTACGTAACAAATACTCTAGACCCTTGTGGTGTAAAACAACAAATAGTTATTACATCACAGTTTCTGTGAATCAGAGGTCTGAGTGAAACTACATGCTTCTATTTCTGGATTACTCATGACATTGCAAATTGCTAACCATCACACCAGGCTTACTCAAAGAGTTTTAGGTCAGACTTGGTTCTTGGCCATAGGGCCCTCTCCACAGTGCTGGATCACTCAGAGTGAGTGATCCTGTGATCCAGAGAGTGTCCAGGATGGAAGCCTGGGTCATTTTCACAAAATAAATTTAAAAGAAACAATGTATCACTGACAGAATAATCCTGAAAGCAGTGACCCATCACTTCACTGTATTCGGTTCATTATATTCACTGGAAGTTAGTAAATCTAGCACCCACTTGGGAAGGAGGCGACTTCATAAGACCATAAGTGCCAGAAGATATATATCATTAGGATGATTTTAGTAGAAGCCACTGTTTTATTGTTTAGTAATTACTTAGAGTTGAGAGGTTTTTTTCAATGAGGTTGGCAGGTTTGGTTTTTTTTTTTTTTTTTAATGTATTTGGTTGTTACAGGGTATCACTACCCAGCTCAGACTCAAAGTGATCCTCCTATTTTCAGCCTCTGCAGTGCTGGGATTACAGGCACGTACCATTACTCCAGCCCGGACTCTGTGGCCAGCTCAGCCCTCTCTGGGGGCAGGACTGTTATGGCATATGGTGCTTGGGATCAAACCATGATTCCTACACTTGCCTAAGCTTGCCTAAGCAGGTGCTTTAGTTCACTGAGCTATCTCTCTGGCCCCAAGTTTGGCAGATTTTAAGTTTTGAGTAAAATGTTGGAGCAAGTGACCACTTGCAATTTTAATTTTATTATTTCCTGTCCCATCATAATTTACTCAGTGAACTTGGCCATTAAGAAATATTTAGGTCATAATGGTTATTGACTTAAGCAACTGGCTTTGTTTTATTCTGATGTCTTTGGCAGAAAGGCTTGGATAAGCTAAGCATAAAAAAAAAATTACAAAAGGACTGGGGGTGTAGCTCAGTGTTAGAACATTTCCCTAGCATATGTGAGGTCTAGCAAATGATTGTCTTACTTTTCTCTCTTTACTGAGAAAAATACCCTAACACTCAAAGTTGAAGGGTAGGGAGCCAGGGAGATGGTTCAGTGGAATAAGCACTTCCCTGGCAAGCGCAAGGGCCTGAGTTCAATGCCCAGTTCCACCAAAAAAAAAAAAAAAAAAAAAAAAGTTGAAGGGGAAACCTTTGTTTAGCTTACAGTTGGTAGAGGTTTCAGTCCATAGCTGGTTCCGAGGCAGGTGGCATGGTAGATAGGCCCCACAGAGGAGAGGCAGTTCATGGCAGGCAGAAGATAGCAAGACAACAGGGATGACCACGGTCTCATTGTCGCTCACATGTCTTGTCCTAGCTACCCAGGGTGCGTAGCACTCGAATCCTTAATCCTAGTGCTTAGGTCCTAACATTGTACCATTAAGCAGCCCAGGATAACACACTCTCGATCCTGCCGTCTCTTAAAACACTGCACCTGTGACCACGTTAGGCTTTGGGAGGGACATGAATACAGACTGTATCAATAAGAATAACAAAAGAAGCCTAGAACAGTTGATGACTTAATAGCCAACAAGTGTAGAGGATGGCAAGAATTTGACTGTGAGTTAATATTCTGTCTTTTTAAGCCTATAAGCAAAATTAGTTTGGTATTAATTTACTCTGGAGTGCTCGCTTCGGCAGCACATATATTAAGTTACTCTGGAAAACTGGAGAACATTTCGAGCATTACAGATTTCGAATCATATGAATCCTGTGTACTCTTAGTCACTTATTTTGAGATAGCTTTGTAACCCATACTTCACATAAACCACATGGGCTGATGTCAGTAGTGGCCAGAAGTGAAATAATGTGAGTACTGGCTTAGTAAGATCAAAACACTGATGAGATTATACTTGTCTGCTTTCTCTACTTGATAGCATGTTTCTTTAGCTCTGTTATTAGATATTCTAGCAATATGATGCAGTTTTACATTTTAATTCTTTTCAGCATGACTGCATAATTTTAGGACATGAACGTTTATAAGGCTTTCAATAAGAAAGGTCCCATTTGATTTGTCCCCTGCTGATTTCAGCTTAACTAGGCTTAATCTTCGATACATGCTGTTTTCTTCAGAGCTTTAAATAGGGCACAAATACATTTTATTTGCTAATTTTGTCTGTTTTAGACATTCTAAAATTAAGATTTAGTTCTCAAGCCTTTATTTCCAAAAAAATTTCTTACATTGTCTTGAATAATTTTATGGTTTTACACCTGAAAAACTATCTGGGTTTTATGCTTTCCTGAGAGAATTCAAATATTTTCTTAACATTATCATTTTACTTTGGTATGAAATTTATTAAGTTTTGCTTGTTTTTAAAATTCTCTGAAAAATTAATTTTAATGGTATACTTTTGACAACATAATGATCACATCCATCATAGCAAATTTGTACCTGTACATGACATATCTTGATTCTCTTTTTTCCCTATTCCTTTCCCTTCCCTTCAGTCCTTCTTCCCTTCTCATTTCATAAGACTGTTTCTATTGTTTTCCTTCTATTCTTTTTTATAATTTTGCCTATTTTTAATGCAAAAGCCTATTCACTCGGCTTTTTTTTTTTTGGTATCATGTATGTAACATTTTATCCCTGAGAATATTTTTGGGGAATGGTCTTTTTCAGACAAGGTTTCACTATACAGATGAGGCTGGCTTCGAACTCCCAGCAGTCCTCCTTCCTTAGCCTCCTGAGTGCTGAGACTGCAGGTGTGCACCATGGCACCAGTGAGAATGTTAATTGTCTTAATGTTTGTTCCTTTTTATTGTTTCTAACTTCCTCTTCTTTCTCCTATCTTTACTTTCTTTGCTCTTCTTTCTATTGTTCCTTCTTAGCTTCCTCTTCTGCTTCCCCTTCCCCATCCTCCTTTCTCTATTTTTTCTTTTCTTTCTCTCTGCCTCCTTTTCTCCCTTTTCCTACCCTTTGTTTCTTTTCACTTGCCTTAAACCTAGTATTTTCCCTGAGATGTTTTCCTTAGGTGGCCATCATCTTAGACTCTTATTATTTAGCAGAGCACCAAAAATAGTACAATATTTAAAGTTCTCATTACTGTCACTTGGCATAGTGTTTTTTGGTGGCAGGTTTTGTTATAAGGTAATGGTATTATTTGAAAAGACCCCAAAATATCACACATCTTATGTATATGTTTCTGTGTGCATATCATGTATATGTGTGTGTACATGTATATGTATATATGTGTATATATATGTATATACATATATATGTATGTATATATAAAAAACTACTTGTGTCTAGAAGTCAAATTGCTTAGTGCATGGAGATACAAGGTTAGTAGGTCATGCCAAACAGTTTGACCCTTCTAACACTTGTCATTTTTACACTCTAATTTTTAAAATATGCTGGAATCTAGATGTACCACATGGTGCTTTTAATTTGCATGTCCCTGATTACTGATGAGACTGGATACCTTTTCATATGCTCAACCCTTTCTGTTTTCTCTTTGTGAAGATCAAAGTTCATTTGCCTTTGTTTTTTGGTGTATGTGTGCTACCGAGTTGTTTTCCTTTTTATTGGCTTTTTTTTACATATTGTTTATCTGCCCTTTCATTGTATGTCTTATGGATGTTTTCATCACATTTTCATTTTCCATGGAATGTGTCTTGATGAACAGAAGTTCTTTTATCTAGTTGAATATTTTTTAACTTCAAAATATCTCAAATTCTTGACTTCATAATCATGAGGACATTCTCCTATATGTCTAAAAAAATTTCAGTTATGCTCAATTTGAAATAGTCTTCATGTTTCTTTTTTTCAATAAAAAGACTCAATCAGGGTCCTGACGCCATGTAGTAATATTCCATAATCTTACTGACTTTCAGTGTGTTCTTTGTACTTTGTCACTTTCAAATTGTGGTCATGTTCTAAAGTTTCATTTCCTGCTCTCTTTGCCTCTTTGGTTTTGAGGGATTTCTTCTACCCTTATTCTACTTGTAGTAGCATTTTAGAATGGATCTTACTGCAATTAAGTTATTTGTTCAATCCTCAGTATTTAGCCTGAAATTTAAAAAGAAAATCTGAAGGATAGGTGTAGGCATAGTGAGTGAAGTGACAGATTTAGCACAGTGTTTGGGTGCAGCAGCAGCCAGGGAAGACATGTGCATTATGCCAGGGAGCTGGCAAGGCCGAAATCGTGTGAGCTGGAAAGAACTCGATGAGGGTTCACCGCATGTTGGGTAGCACTGCTGATGACACTTGGCTCAGTAGGAAAGATGCTCCATTAGGTACCATCTCTTTAAGAAAGTCAGAGGGATGAAATATAATTATTTACCTAGAAATTATGTGTGGTACTGTATTAGCTGTGTAATTTGATCCCATTTATAAAGATGTCAGTTTAAAATGGTCAAAATGAAAGTTTTGATTCTTAAAGGGACCAAAAAATAATTTCAGTTATGTAGGATACTCTGATATATAAGCTAGCATTTTGCAGTTGCCTCAGAGTTCACTTTATTCTAACTTGGCCAAGGTTATGTTCACGATTTTTGGATGTGACTCACTTTGTAACAATTTTCCCTTCATGTTAAGGAAAATATATGGTTGCAATTTGACCTTGCAGACTTTTTTCTTGTAGTTAAAGATAAATACGAATTATGTCTATTGTATTGTCTTCACTGTGCTATACATGCCACTAGTCAAGGGTTCCACATGTGTAGTGAGACTAATAATGATGCCTCCTGGTGACTACTTTGCCTTTATTGCAGCACTTTCTTATTGTTTTTGTTACGTTACAGGCTTGGTGTAAAAATATTAGAGTATTTTCTAAAGATGGTTGATAACTTTTGAATAGAAGTATTGGTTTGTACATCAGTGTATTTGCAATTTCACGTTCTGTAGACATCTAATTGATTTAGAAATAATGACATACAGGCCTTTCATGATTGCTTTTATATATTTAAAACAAATTGTGAGAAAATTTGAAAAGTTTTCTACCCGGGAAATAATTGGATGAGTGACACATACATGAATTGGATTAAAGATCTTGTACAAATGAGGACTGATGAGTCAAGCAGTGCTGAGTGGTTGATAGTTCAGCCTTGTAATTCATACACATGTAAAAACTATTTCCTATAATTAGGGTCTTGTAGAGAATCTTTTCTTCCTTGTATAGAACAAGAAATAAGCCTGTGGTTCCCCACTCCAAGATAGTGGTAAGATGTTAGATTTATAGACACATTGGCTTTAGGTTTTGTTTAGTTTAGTTTGTTTGTTTTGTGGTACCAGGGATCGAACTCAGGACCTTGAACTGGCCAGGCAGGCGCTTATGCTGCTGTGCTATTTCCCCACACATTTGTTTGATTTTACATCCTATACCTTTGTATTGAATTTTTTTTTTTTTTTTTTTTTGGTGGAACCGGGGTTTGAACTCAGGCCCTTGTGCTTGCCAGGGAAGCGCTGATTCTACTGAGCCATCTTGCTGGCCCCTATGTTTTGTACTTGATTGAACTAGGTTTCAGTTTTTGGCCTTCCTATTGTGTGAGGTCTAAAGCTTTATGTGTTATTTTTTAAATTCTATGAGACAGTCAAAGCATATATAATAAATTTTATATATGAGTAACATGGTTTTGTAGTTTTTTTTTCTAGAACGCAAAGAGCTATGTATGTGTTAACTCTGTGGTGTTGTAGAGTAGTATTTTTTTTTAAACAAGAAATTTCAGAATGCAGAAGGTTCTATCAATTGCTTTCCTCCCTGCTGTTTGATACGTTGTAGCAGTGATGAAGATAGTGGTATCAGTGAGGCTTAAAAACTAGTAATACACTTTGTGCTTAATGAAGTAATATATTTTGAAAACATTTGTTGAAACATTGTATAAATGAAAGGAAACATCTTATTTCTGGATGTAAAAAAAACCTATCCATATAAGTGACTGCTTAGAATAGTAGAAGTATTTCTCCAACAAGTGCCATTAAAGTAGATGTAAAATGCATTTTACTCCATGGTGTATCATTAATGTTGGGAAACACATAATGAGTGAACAATTTACCTTTTGTTCTGCAGATTCCTGGATGCTGGACAAATCCTTCAGGCAAATATCATATTGGCATAAAAAATGGCTATGATTTCTATCCAAAAGCTCTCAAAGAAAGGATACAGGTAATATACAACCCAGAATCGATGACTTAAGTATCTTCCTCAGATGTTTTCCTACCAAAGGGGAAAAAATTTTCATAAACTTTAACTATTAATTATTTGGGAGGGGGAGCTGGGTAGCTTTTGAAAAATGGCTAAAGAGTCTGTTCAGTGGTACGTTATCCACGTAAAGTATGGTTTTTAATCTTGGATGGGTAGGATAAGGAAGCCTGGATACAATGAAATTATTTCAAATTTCTGTGTATTTGTTTTTTTCTGGGAGATGCTGGAGAGATTTTGTTGGATTTTTAAGGTCATTTTTACTTGAAAAATTTACAGACAGTTGATTCAAAGCCCAGCCCTCGTTAGTTATTTCTGTTCCTGTAGTTTCAGTAATTTGCCCTGTGTGTCTCTCTGTTTGCTAGCCTTTGTGCTTCTGACTAGTCAATCAGTATCCAGGAAAGGGCAGTCACAAAGCAGTCCGAAGTGCGGGCCTGAGAAGCACAGGTCTGGCCGAGCACCAGCTGCAGAGCGGTGAGGGTCTGCTTCAGGGCAGGCGAGCGTGGGCTTCCTGGGACAAGCAAGGTATTTGAAGAGCTTCGTTTCCGCTCTGTCCATTAGGGGAGCCACTCGCAAGGTGGCCCTGGAGACTGGAGACATGACTTGGTCTCAGGAGTTGGGATTTTAATTTTACGTACGATTTCAGAATTTAAATGACAGCGTGTGGCTAGTGACTGCCATATTGGACTGTGCCAGTTTAAAAGAACCTGCTAGCCGATACAGGCCAGATTTTCAACCATGAAATGGGCACTCATCCTTTTAAGTGGTCCTGGCGAATAAGACTAGGGGCCAGTATTATCCCACCACAGCGTTGTTACGCACTTCCGCTGGTTCTGTGAATGGAACTTATTCTAGTGCTTTGAACTTTGATTGAATACTATTTTATTTTAAAATGTTAGGCTGAAATACACAGATATTATGGCATTTCATGTTAAATGTAATCATTTTGATGAAGTACAAATTAAAATGCAAATATAGAGGTGAAATTAAAGTGGATCCTTCCCTTAGCTTCCTCAAGTTAGTAATTTTTCTGGAAAGGTTACTTCTAACTAGAAGACTTCTGGCAGGAGACGCTGTAGGTTAAAGATACTGGAGACAAAGATTAAGGCCAGTATCAGTAACATAGTACCCTATCCAGTTAAAGAGGCTGAATGAAACAAACGAACAAAAGAAAAATTAGAGAACCACCTCAGGAAGCCTGCCCTCCATCAGAATGCAGCTAGTCCTCTGTTTGCACCTGCCTTACTGCATTTCCTGATTTTGTATGAACCAGAGATACAGTAATTTCTTACTTTAAATGGCTGGAAACTCAGTTTGCTGATGTGGATTCTAAATTGTTGGAGAAGAACAATTGTAAATTGGACGACAGGATTATGAAAGTACATTTTGGTGTCCCTTTGTAAACTGATTCTCTTAGTGCCTATTTATTTGTATGGTCTTGAGTTACATCCATGTGCCTATAGAAGTCCTAGTTTATCCTTCTTTATGTCTGAGTCATACTCCATTGTGTAAACATACCACACATTTTTATTCATTCCTCGGTTGATGGGCATTTGGGTTTTTTCCAAGATTAGCTGTTATGAAGTATACTACTACAAACATGGATGTACATATATTGCTTTGGTATGATGTTTTTAATTTTTCTGGCAAGATGTCTAGAAGGGGAGTAGTTGGGTCAAATAGAACCTCTAATCCTATTTTTTTAAGGAATTTTCACAGTGATTGTACCAGTCAGCACCCCCCAATGGTGGAGAAGGGCTCCTTTTTCTCCACAGCCCTGCCACCAGCATTTGTTATTGGTTGACTTCTTGATGTCAGCCACTCTTTGTGGAGTGAAATGGAATCTCAGTGTTGTTTTAACTTGCATTTCTCTAATGACCTAAAGTGTTGGACATTTTTTCATATATTTGCCATTTGTATTCATCTGAGAAGTCTTTATTCACTTCAGATGCCCATTTTGTGATTGGGTCTTTGAATATGAGGGTTCTGTTTTTTTTTTCAGTTCTTTATGTTCTACATGTAAGTCCTTTGTCCGAGGGACCACAAGCTGAACTTGGCTCTACTCTATGGGTTGTCTTTTCACTCCATTGATGATTTCTTTTGTTGTACAAAAGCTTTTTAATAATGGGAGAGCCTAGTTACTGATTTTTTTGTAGTATTTCCTTTCCCGTACTTATAAGTGAAATAAATCAGACTCATGTGTAAACATCCTATTGTCTCCCTAGTGTGAGGAAACCGAAAGAGTAAATAAAATCTAAAATGTACAGTAGGTACAGAGAATTGGAAAGAAACTATTCAAAAGAAAAGAATTGTGATGGCAGAAAGGAGAAAAGAGGAAAACTATGCAAAGTAGCAGTTGAAAATATATATATATGTATATATATATATGTTATATGTGTGTTATGTATGTGATATATATATATATACACACACACAGATACATGCACCTACACCTGATAATTAAAATAGTTATACAGCTGATATTGTTTGTAAGAGATATCACACCTATATCTTGTACTCTTGAATACTGTAAAGATAAAAATATACAACGTATTATTGTAACTCCTACTAACCTGTTTTGAAACTTTTGTTGTTATTTTTAATTTTTTCTCTTTAAAATAAACCTAGTTGTAGTGAATTAAGTGATTTTTAATAGATGGCCCATTACTTTATTAACTTCCTTTGGTTTGGTTTATTTTTTGTCTTTGCTTACTAGGCAGGCATTCTACCGCTGAACCAAATCCCCAGCCCCATAACGTCCTTTGAAATGATTATTTTTAAGCCTTTTGTATGAGAACCTTATAGCATCACAACTGCTGAAAAGGTCCACATATATGACTTTTCAAGGTTTGCCAAGCTATTTGACAGCCTGATTGTAAAGTTGCTTTTTTGTTTTTGCAGAAAGAACGAAAGGAAAAAATCTGGGATCCTGTTCACAGAGTGGCCCTTGCAGAAGCCTGCAGGAAGCAGGAGGAATTCGATGTTGCCAACAACGGCTCATCCCAGGTTGATGCTGGTTGCTTTTTTTCAAGCTTTTCCCCAAGTCCTGCTGCTTAGCTGTCTAGGGAATGAGTGGGCAGAGTGTTGTAAACCAAAAATCAAAAACCGGACTCAAACTTTAAAAGGCAAGAAAGCGCTTTATTTAGCTGAGCTCAGTGGCGGCACGTACTCTCGTCTCCAAGTATGTGCGCACTTAGTCTAGGTGAGGCACAGTTTTTAAAGGGAAAAACCATAAGAGGAGGGGGGATTTTACAAAGCTTATTTTGAGTTAGTCATGGCCAAGGGTTAACTCTTTGTTTCTATAGACAAGGTCACATTTTGCAAACCCTACAGGAATATGTTTTATTTGGCTTAAGCGTTGTTTTTGTCTCTGTAGTCATAAGGACATCTGATGACAGTTTTACCCATTTTCAGGCGTTCTGTTTGTTCTCGTAGGAAGGACAGTTTAACTCATTTTGTAGAATGTTGAGGAATGTTTTTTATCTTCTCTCAGAATGCTGAGGAACACTTTCTTATTTGCACAAACAGTTGCATTCTTCAGGGAAGGCATGGGTGGGGGAGTTTACAAAACAAATCAAGGTTTTAAAAAATGGAAGTTGCAAAGCTTGTTAGAAGATGGAGTTTAAGTTGTCAGCTTATACCAGATAGTCCTTGTTAATAAAGTTATAGTGGAAACATACAGAGTTACAAAATTGGAATCAGTTGCACAGGTTATAAAACTAAGCTTTCAAAGTTTTCTGTATTGTAAATTTTCTTCTCTGTATGGCAGTTTTTACCAGTTTTCCCCTATAGTTTATGCTGAAGGGAGACTTGCTTACCTATTTGTCTGCATTTTAAAATGCCTTAATTAGCATGTAATATATGTAAGTGAAATCGTGTAAGCATAGTTGTGAGTGTGCTCACTTAGGCCCTTGGAGTTGCGCTCTTGCTTGTCACTGCTCCCTTTCTCCTGCACAGGCAGCCACTTCTAACATAAGAGAGTCATTTTTTTTTTTTATTTTGAATTTTGTAAAATGAAATAGTACAAAGTTAAAAAAAAAAAAAAAAAAAAAATGGAGCACAAGATAGCATCTTCCACGCAGAGCGTATTTTGCTTGTCACGTTGTGGTGCTCGTTTCTGTTCTGGGTGTCGGCCTTCAGTTCCCTTGCTCTGCAGTGGTCTCTTTTGGGTACATCATTCTGCAGATTGCTGCTTGCTTTGTTTCGCCTTTTCACTGTTGAGAACAGTGTTGTCTTGGTTACTCTTCTCTCATTGCTGGGACAAATACCTGACACCCAAAATGAAGGAAGGAAAGGTTTATTTAGCTCACAGGTACTGGAGGTTTAAGTCCATACTCAGCCGGCTCCAAGGCGGAGTGGCACATGGCAGAGGGTGGGGGCAGAGTTCATGGGGGCAGAAGGCAGCAAAACAACAAAGGGACGAGCAACAGCAACAATGGCTGCAGAGAGGAACTCTGTCCCCCTTAAGTTGCATTCAGGCTATCCACCCCAGGCTGGGAGTAGCACTCAAACCCATAATCCCAGCAGTACTAAAACCCATAATCCCAGTCTTGATCATGAATTAATCTCAAACTGTAGAAGTCTTTCCCCTCCCCTTACCCCCCCCCCAGACTGCATGAGGCTTTGGGGGACAACTAGACACGAACCATAACAAATTAATTTCAGACATTCTTGGGTATGTCTTTTTGATGGGTTATAAAGTGATATAAACCAGTTTATATTCCCTTAAGAGGTACATCATAGTATCCATCTTCTATGTCCTTGCCCATTAAGATTTTAAAATCAATTTATAAAATGAAAATAATGTCTGTTATGAAAATATGTACTAGCCACAACCACTTGGTACAGCACAGTGTGCAAAGTAGCATTTGAAAAGTCCTGGGAAAGCCGCTCCCTGAGGTGGCCGCCACGTGTGGTGCCCGTGCTTTGAATTGTTCTCTGAGTACATACGGAAACGTTTTCTTTTAAAAAAAAAAAAAATGGAATCATTTGTGATTTCCAACCCTGGCTTCTGTTAGAATTACATGAAGAACTTTTAAAGCTACCAGTGTTTGTGTCCCTCTACCAGAGAGGGATTAAATTCAGATCTTGTGAAGGAGACAGACATTTTAAAGTTCTGTAGGAGTTTTATTTAAAGTGTAGCTAGATAGGGGACCCACTGGCCTATCTCTGTTTTAACAGGCACATAATTTTCTATTAACTCAACATTTATAGCTTAGTTTTTCATCATTAGGCACATCAAATGTAAAATTTTAGATACTACATGTATACACCTAACTTTGTAAAAGAGGGAGCTAGCTGTCGCTATCCATCTTTTTACATTCTATGCTCCAAAAATAACTATAATTGGCTGTTTCTTTTAAGGAGGCATAAATGTTAGATATATTGAATAAATAAAAAGTAAGCAACAGAAATTTTAAAACATGAAAATCAAATTATTTACTAGGAACATTTAGGTGACTATAGAACAACTTTAATACAGTGTACACAATCACAAAAATCTTAGGTCAAGACATAAACTTGCCATTTTTATATATCAAAATGGATGGCTAGCGGTGATTTCTCATGACTCAGCCTACTGCCTTATATGATCATTTCTTTTTCCACGAGGCTTGAGACACTTCCTTTCTCGGTTAACCTTCAACATGTTCCTTATTTGAAAGCATAGACAGCCTGTCCCTTTTTTCCCCAGATGCTAGGGTGTGGGGATGCTGGGCTGGGTGTTTCCATATCACCTAGTGAGCTTCAAAATAGAACCCAGAATTTGCAGCTTCATCCCCTAGAGTACTGATTTAAGAAGTAGGCTGGGACATGGAATCTGTCTTGTACTATTGTTTGGTAACCACTGACTAAAATAATCATTTCTTTTCCTACCAATTGCTGGCCTCAGTTGTTTTTTATGAGGATGGGTAATTTGCTCAGGATTGTGCAACTAGTAAGTGGCAGGATGCAGGGAATGGATCCACACACCTGGCTTTAGGACAGTTCTCGTGCACACCGTTTATCCAGAAAAAATGGACTTGGAACAATATAAATGCTTTTGATCAGAGGTGGAGCATCATAAGTGATCCACTAGGACGTATTTTGAATGTTCTCTGCCTACCCTTCTGTCACGAAAATAGGCAGTCTGTAAGGGTACCTATGATTGAGCATTGCTATGCTCTAATCAGGCGTCAGGGACAAAGCCGTGTCACAGGGTAGACTTGACCCATGCACTTGTCATCCCCTGCTTTTTATGGGGTTTAATACATTTGTCTCACTTTTAGTATTTATAGGTTTATATATCTCCCAGTTTATGCTTTATTTTAACCTACAGTTTCCTAAATATTTGGATGCATAGCTTCTTTAATATTCTAAGTTTGAGGCTTTTTTTTTGGAGGGGTCACATAATAATGCCAGCCGTCATCTAATTTCTACATAATGTACTTCAAAATTCTCTACTCAGGACCACAGAGCTGAAATAGAGTGTAGCTTGCTTTATTAAATCTGTCTTTAACATAGAAAAAAAAAAATAAAGTGATGATTCATGCTTTCTGTTATTTATTTGGATTCTTAAGAAATATCCTGGGGGCCAGGGAGATAGCTCAGTGGAATAAGCGCTTCCCTGGCAAGCACAAGGGCCTGAGTTCAATCCCTGGTTCCGCAAAAAAAAAAAAAGAAAAAAAATATCCTGTATATGAGGTAGAGAAGATCCTGATACAAAAATCTTAAACATTGAAGGTAGAGAAATTTTATTTTAAAATTCCTTTTCTAAGTGAGTTACACAAGTTACACACATGTGATCAACATATCTTGGCCACGTGTTATTACTGGTGTGTGCGCAGGGTTTCCTAAAGCAGATGGAATGAGATTGATTTAAAAATAGTTTTTATTTAAGTATTGAATTTATTAATTAGTATCTGCTTATTGGCCTGGTTGTGTAGATTTTCTTTATATTTTTCCATTGTGCAGTATTTTACTATAATTTAAATATATAATTGTATAGAATAATACAGTGTTCATAAGTACAAAATATTCTAATATCAATCTGTTTTCTGATTAGGCAAATAAACTAATCAAGGAGGAGCTTCAGAGTCAAGTGGAATTACTAAATTCTTTTGAAAAAAAGTATAGTGACCCTGGCCCTGTGTATGACTGCATAGTGTGGCACGATGGTGAAGTCTGGAGGTATGTGTGTGCTCTGAGGATCTTTGTGTCACATGGTTCTGCCTACCCTAAAGCACAGCAACCCTTCGGAGCTATATGGTTCTTGATCACTCAGTAAAACACCCACATGAGCTTTGGCTAGTTCTGGATAAGCCTTTCAACTGCTTAGTAGTTAACATTGGTGGTTTTTTACAGTACACATGCCCTTTATTTTATTTATTTATTTTTTGTATTTTAAGGAAGGGCCTACAGGGTGTACAGGGTCTCACTACTAGATCTGATTCCTGGTGATCCGCCTGTTTACAGCCTCCCAAGAGCTGGGATTACAGGTGTGTGCCGTCATGCCCGGTCTCAGTTGCTGACTCAGCAAGCCCTGGGGTGGGACCGGCCCAGGGATCCAGGCCTGGGGATCCAACCCCTGGCACCTGTGCCTGCAGGCACTTTAATCTGCTGAGCTAGTTGGTCAGCCCTACCTTCCTTCCTTTCTTTCCCTCTTTATTTTATTTTTTTGCGGAACCAGGGATTAAACTCAGGCCCTTGCGCTTGCCAGGCAAGCACTTATTCTACAGAGCCATCTCCCCAGCTCCTTAACTTTATTTATTTTAAAGAAACTTTGAAATAACTCTTATCTCATTAACCAGTGGTAGGAGATTGATCACTGATATAAGTGCAAATACTCTAAATTAAAGCCAGACAGGATTAAAGCACCTGGTTAGGCAGACACAGGGGCTGGGAGTTCAATCCTGTGGCCTGTTGTGCTAGCCCCACCCCTGGGGTGTGCTGAGAAGATTGAAACTGGGCGTGGTGCCGCGTGTGCCTGTAACCTCAGTTCTTGGGGAGGCTGTAAACAGGAGGATCACTACACGCAGTGAGACCCTGTACACCCTGTCCTAAATACAAAAAAACAAAACAAAAAAAAAGCTGGACAGTTGGAAGGTAAGTGCAAGAAGACGTTACATAGCATTTACTATAAAATTTTTAAGGCTGCAGGCATAGAATTGGGTGGAGATATTTTAAATACAGAACGAGCACATTAAGTTAGTGAAATACGGGGATGGAGATAGCTCAGTCTGTGCGCTGGAGCCTTAGCTCCGTAGTCTTGAGCTCATTCTGTAAACCTCTGTGGGCCTGTTTCCTAGTCTGTACAGGTTGCTAAAAATCCATAAATGTGTTTTGTGAAATTACCTTCAGCATGTCTACACATGTAAGCCCTCAGTATACGTGAGGTACTCCGTTTCTGCTGCTACAGCTAATGTGATTTACGGCATCTAGGAAGCAAAGGGCACACACTGCAGATGTGTCTCCTGGTGTTGGCTCATGTTTCTTGCATTATGAAAACAGAATTACATTCTTAACATAGGTATTTAGCTATTCGTGTATTGTAGGGTTCCTTGAATAAACCAGGGTCTCTTCCTTGAGACTTGAAATCAAGAATCATTGTAAGGTGTGCGTACCTGCTCATAGGTAAAGGTTTCCTGAGATGTGGCACGTACAGAATGTGCCGTGCCTGCTGACTTACTGTCTTCACAGTGCATCGTACGAAGGAGGGCTCTCCTCCCCCCATCCATACGCTCAGGTACCTCCTTGATTAACCCTAGGAGAGTTTGAGTGGGAGAAGAGGAAGCAAGGTTAGAAGCGAGGAATGTGATGAACACCAAACTGAGTGTTCTGCAAGACTGGAAGCATTAGCAGCCACTGGACAGTGAGGTGAAACATTTAAAATGTTTCCTATAGATTGTCAAGACTACAGAATAGTCCATTTACAGTAGTTTGTTGAAAACTAGTGAAAGATTTTGTTTTGAACTTTTGTATTTCAATGGAATTTAATCAAACATTAAATGAAATAAAATCTGAAACCCCAGAGGACTATTATAGAAAAAGTTATTATAACCGGTGAAAGATGCATCAAAATTATGTTTTCAGATACTATAAGAAATAATTTTAACTTTTTTTACATAACACAGCATGTCTTGTAGAACTTTGACCTAAGATCAAATTTTTTTGAAGAGAATCTTAAAAATCCCAATGTATCTAAGACAAATTTAGGTAGTATCTGCAGATGTTCTGGTTTTTATTGCACAAATGTCATCATTTCTGAGGGTTCACACCCCAGGAGTACTGGGGTTACAGGTATGTGCCACCATGCCTGGCTAACTGGTTTTCTTGTCAAGGATTTTGCTTCTTACCATGTTTCTGTTGAGATTCTTTTAGAAAGCACAGGATTCCATAGAAAATGAGCAAGGAACTATGTAGAAAATGTCAAGGAATGTCTTCTCCATGTACTCTACCAGTTTCATTTGTTTGCTTCTGTGCTCTGAATTCTAATAGCTACTCCTTGAATTATACCAACTAGACCTTCAGAAAGTTGTAAAACATGTTCATAACGTAATTCCCTCTGTTGGGAAACTTGGCAAAGTCAGTAATTCACATTACGATGGAATGTTTGTATTAAGTCACTTCATGCTCCTGCTTGCTGAGAAACTGAAATGTACCACAATATCCTTTGGAAATTGTTACAAATGTAGAGTTAACCTCCACTTGGCAGATGCTTATTGAGTGCACCCTGGGCTCTAAGAGAGTATGAATTGAGTCCATGGAGCCTATCTAGGAAGTCCCAGAAGTAATCTGCTAAAGGGTGAATGAGAACGCCCTTAACTAACAAGAGACATTAGAAAGAGGCCTTGAAGTGGAGAGAAAAGACTAGAGGTCGTGAAAGGAGCTAAAGGAAGCGTGGTCATCGAGCGTATTGTGGAAGGAGGGTGTAGGGAGGTAAGTGGAGGTTTGGTTGTGTGGGGCCTTGTGCAGCTTCAGCTTTATCGTTGACAAACCAGTCCCCAGAGCTGACCTTAAGCTGCACTGCTTCCTGACATGGAAGGTAGTCGCTGTATTTATTTTGGTAGCACAGTGGTGAGGTAGTGTCTTTGCCCTTTGTCCATTGCTGGGACAGAATCCCCAGCCCACCACTTACAGGAAGAAGATTTATTTTGACTCACAGTTTCCTTCTGTGGTCAGCTGACACCAAGGAGAAAAGGCAGGATGGAAGGCCATGGCTGGGAGGGAAAGGAGGGCATGCGTACCTCATGGCCACACCTCAGCCACTGGCCTCGTGCGTGACTCCACTGATGCACATAGCACCCCTGTGCACCGTCGCCATCACCTTCCACACATGTCACACTTTGGGGGACGTGCTAGATATAAGCCGCCGTAGCACGTGGGAAGGAGATAGCTGAGAAACGGTGATATGATCTGTAGGAAGGTAAGAAAATGGACAACAGTTTGACACTTGCTTTTTCTTCTCGATTAACAGAGCCTGCATTGATTCAAATGAAGATGGGGACTTGAGCAAGTCTCCAGTGTTGAGGAACTACAAGGAGGCCCAGGAATATGGCTCATTTGGCACGGCTGAGATGTTGAATTATTCCGTTAACATATACGATGAGGGAAACCTGCTCTCCATTGTGACCAGTGGAGGTACTCACTTTCTGATCTACTCCTGAGAATGAGTACTTTACCCACAAGTACTACTACTCCTGCTATAGCATTCTGTGTAGTTTCAAAAAAATTAGAAACTATCTAAATGTTTATTTGCAAAAACATAGATTTTTAAAAAATTATGTTGATCTTGCTGTGGAATGTTATATAGCAACCAAAATCAATCAATCTGTATAAATCTCAAAACACCTAAGTTTTAACAAAAAATATATTAGTGACCAAACATTGGTGTAAAATGTCAAGTGTGTTAAGCGTAGTTGGATGGTGGGTGGTGGCCTGGGGCGGGGGAGGCAGCGCTGAGGGGGAGCTTTAACCGGCCACACCCCCACCGGGCCTGCACACAAGTCCTGCATTCTCCCAAGCAGCCACCACCAAGACAGCAACCACATCTGTCGCCCCGCTACTCCTTGTCTTCCATTGTGATCTGTATCCCCAGCAGCCACTGAGCATTCTTACCGCCCTAGGTTGCTGCACATTTTCTGTAATTTTCTCTAAGTGCAGTAAGAAGTTCAGGAGGTTTTGCCTGCCTTCTTTCATCCCTGCTGTGATTGTAAATAGTTTGTTCCTCGTAGCTTAGAGGTGTTTCATCAGACAGGGCCGCAACAACTTGTTTGGCCCTTCACCCACTGCTTGATACTTACGTTGTTTCAGCATTGTGTGCAAACCCATGTGTTAGTCACGTGCTCCTCCTTGGGACAAAACACCCAACACCTGCAACTAAAAGGACAAGTGTGTCTGGGCCATGTCAGCCCAGAGCTGGCTGCTCCTGGGCAGAATAGTGTGCCAAAGAAGGGCGTTGCAGAGGACAACTGCCCCCAGCATGGCGGGTCGGAAAGGGAGTCAGGGAGGAGCTGGAAAGCAGTTGTGGCGAGGGGTTCGCGTCCACAGGGACGCAGGCGGCTCTTCTGTCCAGGTGCCCCTACAGTCCCAGCACCTTCCAAAGGTCCCAGCTGTGACCACATGGACTTTAGGGGACAGGTACAAATGGTGTTTGTTCGTTTTAGGCGAAATATTTAGTACTTTTAAAATGTTCAAGCAGTTTTTCCCTCGTGCTCCTGGCAGCAGGGTGTGAGGTCTCCAGGCACTGGCAGGACATGCAGTGCATGGCATGTGCTGTTGGCTGTTGCTCACTGTAACCACGGGCTGGTGTGTGTTGGTGACAAGGTGTTTTGAGGAGAAATATGGGAAAATTTTGCTGTCCTGTTTTTATTGGGAACAAGTAAACCAGGCCCACTTGGCAGTGTTGTCCTCCTTGGTGACAGAATTGGCTGGCGTGAAGGGTGCTGAGCACTGTGGCAGAGCGCTTTGAGGCCTATGCGCTGACCGCTGTTCACTGTCCAGCCGCCTGCGCCCAGGCCAGTTGTCATTTATCATTGCTCCTGTATTTTTCTGCCAACAACAGGGTATTTCTCTACTCATACCTTAAGATACTTGAAAAAGGTTTTAAATGTCTGTATTTCTTGGTTTTGTTTTACTTCATTAATGTATGTGTAACAAACAAGGTGTGATTGAAATAAGCAGTACATGTTTTCAGTTTCTTAAAATTCCTTCAGAAAAGACACATCACCATTAATGTGTCTTCCTTCGGGGTGCCACAGGTAGCCACTTAGCAGATCACTCTTGCCACTCCCTGAAGCAGTTCTGGAAGTCTTTGTTCTCAGGTGTCTTTTTATATGTTTCTTCTTTTGCATGGTACAGAGGATTGAACCCAGGGCCTACACACCAAACTGTATCCCCAGCCCTTTAGTTTTTGACACACGGTCTCACTAAGCTGCCAAGCTGGCTCCGATTTGCCTTGCTCTTGCCGCAGCCTCACGGAGTGCTGGGATTAGAAGCAGGTGCTGGCATTGTGAGTCTTTGGTTGCCCTGTTGTGGCTGCCTTGATGCCTCAGCCAGCTCAAAGCAGCGCCAGATCCAGTGAGTGATGAGGATGGCGCACGTGGTAATGTTTATTCAAGCCTGCCTCTCTTTATTTTGGTAGTGGCAATCCAGCTCACGACCTTGCGCTTGCCAGGCAGGTGCTGCGCCGCTAAGCTATATCTGCAGCAAGCCTGCCTTCCTTTGGGTGGTACTCGACACCAACAGGTGCCACTTTTTTTAGCACATCTTGTAAATATCTTCACAAAAGAAGCCTTGTAATTTTGCTTCACAGAATGGCAAGAATGATTAAGTATGTTGGGAGTGATGGGAGTATTGTGAGGAGGGTTAATGATGAAGCATCATTTACTTTAATAAAATTTTTCAATTGAGACCTTCACTGTACTTCAGTCGTACTTCATATGTGGAGTAAAGCATACAAATCCCAAGTTGTATACTTCCTCAGTTATCATAAAGTGGGTAATTCTGTATAACCACTATCCTGATCAAGAAATAGAGCATACTGGCCTCATCTTTCTGCTGCTTCATAATCTTGAGTCCCCCCATGAGCACCACTACCACAGCGTGCTGCTCTCCTGATTTTCATTGCCACATGCTTTGTGTCATGTGATATTGGTTGTGTAGATCAGAAATACAGTAATTTCACGTTTCTACCTTTTCCCATTTATACAAATAGAATTAACCGTGTAAATGCTTTCTTATGGGGTCTTCATTCAAACTTGTTTTTGTGAGCATCACATAATGTATGGAAGCTCATGTTAACTGTTGTATAAATGTGACCTCTATGACAATATAGAATATGTCCATTATTCACAGGTCATGAAGTTGTTTCAGGTTTTGAACTGTACAAGTAAAGCTGCCATGAGCGTATTTGTGGATGTTTTAGTGTGCAGTCCACCTCTACACATTTCTGCTGTGCAGGTAGCTAAAGGCAGAATTGCTGGGTCGTTATGTGTGCCTGTGTATGGCTTTCTATCCACCAGCAGTACAGGACACACACCCTACTCATGCTTGCTGTTGTCAGCGTTTACAATCTAGCCATCCTGAAATGTATGTGGAAGCAAAGCATTGTGACTGTGGTTTGCAGTTCTTTAATAAAATTGAAATCTTTGAATATGCTCAGTTGCCATCTGCTTATCATCTCTTATGAAATGCTTTTTGAGATGGTTTGACCATTGCAGGGCAAGAGGGTCTCTCTTGCATTTTATTTGACCGATCATATGTTCTGTAGATGCTCTTTATCAGTAATATCAGAGACAGTTTATCTCCTTCATGACTTCTGTTTTTGTTCTCAAAGTAGAGTAGGACGCAGGTTAGCAGAACTAGGTGATTTCAACAAGTTTTTTAATGAACTGTGGCAATAGCGTTAAGATAATATATCATTAGACATGTAGATTAGGGTATATTTTTATTGTTTTTATCATGATTAGTAAGATGCAAATTGAATTTGGTAATAAGGATGTTCCTATATAAGCATATCATGTCATTCTCTCCGTTTCCCTCTAGGAGCTCATGGTACTCACGTCGCCAGTATAGCTGCTGGCCACTTTCCAGAAGAACCTGAGCGGAATGGAGTAGCTCCTGGGGCTCAGATTCTTTCAATCAAGATTGGTGATACAAGGCTAAGCACAATGGAAACAGGCACAGGCCTCATAAGAGCTGTGAGTACTCACGAGCGCGTGGCTTACAGCGACTCATGCTCTTTCTTGCATATGGTTAGCTTTATGCAGTGCTTCTGGTTTGCCAGTTATGTTTGCTGCGTAGGGCTTTGTTTTTAAAAGCAAAAAATGCTTAACTTTATTTAAGAATTTTTAAAAAAATGTTTAGCAATTTTTTTGGCTTAAATTTTCATGAAAAAAATAGTTTTATTCATCATTTCTAATAAACCCTTAAGATACTTGAAGACAACCTGCTTGGTCCATCAGCCAGAAAGGATTTAAAACATCAGCTAATGCTGTACACTTCTGTGTAACATGTAACTTTAGTACTTTTAGCATCTGATATGGGCCATCCTATTGCCTGCACTTTTCTGCTAATCAGACTCCATTCTGAAAGTACTAATTGTATATTTTTAATTGGCTGTTTATGTGTCTATCCTTTGTTTAGTTTTCATGTGCTTAAAAGCAACTGCTATGTTAGAATATCATTGGTCAAGAAACTAAGCATTCCTAAAATTTATCAGGAAGCGGAAAAGACCTAGAATAGCAAAGGCAATCCTGGGCAGTAAAGACAAGGGAGG